AGTACTTGAAGAAATTAAACAAAGCACTAAATAGCACTGTCCTATAAGAAATTAATTAGTTAGGTAAAATACACAGTACTAGTACTTGAAGAAATTAAACAAAGCACTAAATAGCACTGTCCTATAAGAAATTAATTAGTTAGGTAAAATACACAGTACTAGTACTTGAAGAAATTAAACAAAGCACTAAATAGCACTGCCGTATAACTGATTAATTAGCTTAGGTAACACGCACATTATTAGTATATGATGAAATTAAACATAGCACTTAATAACTACGTCCTATAACACATGAATTAGTTTAGGTGATATACACATTACTAGTGTATTAGGAACTTAGACATAGCACTAAATAACAACGCCCTATAACAGATGAATTAGCTTATTTAACATACACAATGAATGAGGAAATTAACCATATTATTAAATACGACTGTCCTATAACAAATAAATTAGTTTAGGTAACATACACATGAGAAACTTAAACATAGAACAAAATAGCACTGTCCTATAGCACGTGGATTAGTTTAGGTAACATACACATTATTAACATATAAAAAACAACATTTAAGCACATTAGTTAGTTTGTAAAAAGAATGCAACAATATAAAGAAATTAAATGAAAGATTGGTATACATTTTAACAAACCAACGTAGAGCTAAATAATAGTTCAAAAGGGAGTAAGTAGAAAAATATCTTAGTAGTCACATTGATTTACCCCATACTAAGTAGGCAGCTAACTGTTGTACACACTATTTCATCTACATTTGAAGCTGGGTTATTCCCATAGGATGTTCGTAACCCGAATTCATAAAGTACGCTTCTTTCCAAGAAACAACTACTTATTAAGCAACATTAAAAAGAGAAAAATATGCGGCTTTTTCACCCTGCTTTGTCTAGCAATTATAGGCACGATACGTCTTCATCTATTTTAGATAAATTGTACGAGAAATAGAACTTTATTCCGGTTAATGCATTCGAAAATTTATAATTTTGGAAAGAAAACTAATGATTATACATTCAGAGAAAAAAAAATCCATCTTATAAGAAACTTTTGTCACGCGACTTTTACCAAACTATTCATTGGTCAATTAATCGGTTAGGCCTACCTATGGCGCTGATTCACACTCGTCTATAAACTATGTTAAATTATAGTAAAAATTATTCAAAGATTAACTCTTTCCCATCGAGTTTGCAGATAAAGTCCAACAATATTACCTAAAGACTAACATGACTGTAAGTAGTACAACATCGCCCAAAGTTTGGGCGAGGAAATTCCTTCAAACTAGACCTGTCATGGGTTCGAATTGCGTCACTAAATGTGCTCGCCCTTTCATCCTTTGGGGCGTCATAATGTAGGAGTCAGTCGTGCTTTTCGATGGTAAAGAGTAGCTCATGAGTTAGCGATGGGTGGTATTGGCTAGCTGCCCTCCCTCTAGTTTATCACTTCTAAATTAGGGATGGCTAGTGCAGATAGACCTCGAGTAGCCAGACTATATAAGGTACAACATAATCTAAATAGTAGAACCAGATTGTACAAGGTACATCGTCATTTAAAGACTATAGAGCAAATTCCTTCAGACTAATCGGATTGTTCAAGATACAAAATCGCCTAAAAACCAACAAGTAAGTTCCTCCAACAACTAATCAAATAATGGAAGATTTAGCTCTTAATTTTGTTGGATTTTCAATTTTGAATTAATAAACTCCTCCCATTATAAGAACTGTTAAAGTCACCAGCTGACAAGAATAAAAACTGTTCCAATAATTATAGAGGTATAGTGAGACTTCTGGAGGTTAGTTTTAAAGTTTGTTTGGATTCCGAGTGAAAAGGGTCAAAGTTATCTTTTTTTTATTTGTCGGGTTCAGTTTTTACAAAACATTTTACTTGCAAATCAGGTGTTAGATTAATCAATATCATATTTATATCTGGGGTTGCTCTAAAGGTAAACCAAGTATAGTGATATACATGTATTGTATAAATCAAATATAGTGATATGCTGTGCGAATTAGATATAGTGATATGTTGTGTAAATCAATGATAGTGTTATGCGTGATTCAATTATAGTGTTATGTGTGAATCAAATATAGTGATATGTTGTGTAAGTCAAATATAGTGATATAATAATAATAGTAAATTGTGCGAATCAAAAATAATGATATGTTACGTGAATCTAATGATAGAGACATATACTCTCTAATGAGTTAAGTTAGAAAATTAGACTTCAAATATAGTAATACAATACCAGAATATTAGATTAGCAGTTGCCTGAGAAATGCATCGTTTGATGTTAAGCATTAGTTAAGTGTAGCAGTATAAAAGATAAAGTTAGTCTTAAACGTAAGACATAATTTTCCTCCTAGCTTTGTGATTTTCAACATACAAACGAAACGATTTTATAATTAAACATCAGAACATGTTTCTAGACGGTAACATGATTAAGTCGCTTATTATATATGTACGAAAAATGGTTACTTTAATTACGACTTTGTTTATATATATATATATATAACACTACCATAACTATGTATTTACGTTGTTATATACACAACGGGAGCATGGCTATACTGTTGAATTGCTTTACACACAATACGAGCATAGTTATATTGTAACAATTACATTATGTTCATAATACTAGCATAACTATGTTTTACATCATTATATGAACAATAAGAGCATGGTTATATATATATTACCATAATATAGTACTAGGACGGCAATGTTGTTACATACACAATTCTAGCAAGACTGTGTTGTTACACTGTAATACTAGCATAACTATGTTTTACATCATTATATGAACAATAAGAGCATGGTTATATATATATACCATAATATAGTACTAGGACGGCAATGTTGTTACATACACAATTCTAGCAAGACTACACTGTAATACTAGCATGGATATGTTTTACGTCGTTATTTGAACAATGCAGGCATGATTATATATATATACCAAAATAAAGTATTTAAATGATTATGTTGTTACATTATTATGTACACAATACTAGCAAGACTGTGTTGTTACATTGTTACGTACACAGTAGTTGTTGTATTGTTACTAAACTACAACTATTGCTATTGTCCATCAGTTGGTATTTTTATAGATATTTTGCTGACTATAAAATGTTTAAGATTTTGTCATGACGAGATGCCAGAGTAGACTTACCTATGGTGGTAATGACGGTTAAAGAATACAAGAAAGCCCCAGAGAATGACCACTGTTGACTGGTTCCCTTACCATCATAACCATCTCGCACGTGGGAAATTAAAACTGATTGAAACTGACGAATCTCAGCTGCCACTGTGTGGGTCCAGTTTTCTTTGTAAAGAATGTTCAAGCTATAAGTTATTTCCCAAAGTCGTTTTACCATTTCTTCTCTCATTTCGGTCACTTGACCAGCCTGCTCCTCCTCGTGAGGAGCCTCCAGTGCCCTGAAGGTGAAAGCCCCCATGATGCTGTACCCAACCACCAACGCACATAAGCCCACGTGAGAAAATAAAAATGTCGTGAACCTCCGACAACACGCCTTACATTTGTTAGGTGGGGGGTGTTTCTTTGGTGTATGTCCTGGTCGTCCACGCCTGAATGAACATTCTCTTTTTAGGGGCATTTCTTTTTTGGCTGTCTAAAACAAAAGTAGTATAAGGAATGTTTTTCTACGACTTGTTTTAGAATAAATATGCTTAATTTCTCTCAGACTGAATAGGTCATACATACATTCTTTGGCTGCCACTATTTTAATTTCGAAAATCCGAAAACTTCATAAATAAATTCACAAAGTAAAACATTTGTGGATAGCGTAATCCTGCTTAACGTTACGCGTTATAAATCTTCTAAAACTAAACTGGCATATTTATTCTGCTGTCTCTCAGACCTCGTTAATGCTGGAAAGTTAAACACGTTGTACCACATGGCTGGTCTCGCTCCAAACACACTGTCTGAATGGTATGAAAAAAAATTACACGCTTTGTAAGGTGGTGCCATCTATTATTACAATAATAAACCCTCTTTATTAAAGTAATCAAGAAATAACTATTTCAACTCGTATGAAAATATTAAGAGTAGTCATCTTCCCATAATTTATTTTTAATTCTAAATCTTATGGTCACCATTATGCAGAATATAGCACAAACACATTGCTTGGCTGGGATAAGACTTGTTTGAAGTTTCTTTCTAGATGGTCCTGGTTCCCCAATTTGATCCACATTCTTTTATTTTTCAGTGCCATCACAAAGGATATCCCCATCTTGAGAATTTCAAATCATTAATCTGAACACATCTGTTGCGTTTGTCACGTGATTTTTTATTTGAATATTCAAATACTCAATAAAGAACGGCCATGTATAATAAAACCATTCAAGAAAACAGTTTTAACAAATGTATCAACATGATTACAGAGTTGACTGCGTTATATTAATACGATTTTGAATAAGTAAATCATCAAGTTACGTGATAAACACAGCAGATATAAAATCTTTGTGTAACGGCATATATCAGAATGATATTTTTATGTTGCTTGGCGTGGTGTGGGTAATATGATGCCACTGAAAATTGATCGCATTTAGAAAGGGTATAAAAGAGCCCTTCTGACTCAAAAATACACTCAGTTCATAAAGATGTATTAATGACACGGGAAAACAAAAGAATATGGGTTCACTGGAGGACCCAGGAACATCCAGGAAGAAACCTGCAGCAAGTTCTACCTTAGACCATGTAAGCAAAACGCAGCGTCTCGTAGCAGGTCAAAATCCATGAACACAAAGGTTAGTGGCAAACGTCGTACACGTGCTCTAGGCAACAGCACCCAACATAGTCAAAAAGAAGCTCCGTCTATAAAAACAACACAAGAGACGCTTACGCTAGTCACTTCCTGACATATCTATTCAACCATTACATACTTCAAACACCTGAAGGATGAAAAGGTTATTTATACTATTCTACATGAAAACATACTAGTAAAGTCGCCCGATGCGGCACCTATGGAGTTCTGTACGATGGGACTGCTGAAGGTGAGGCTGGGAAGCCGTCGTTCTCGAACGTTATGGAATATAGAAAGTACGAAGTGGTGAGTGATGCGCTTTGGGCATGACAGCTTAACAACGGAACTTTTTACAATGGAAACTACGCTGCAGGGCTATCATCAAGATGCATAACCGAACATGGCGACATGAACTATAAATTACCGACGTGGTAAAGCTCGAAAGTCGTTTTATATGTAAGTGATCTCGGACCTGGCATGACCTAGTAGTTAGAACACTCGATTCACTATTTGCAGGTCGAGAGGTCGAATTCCGTCACCAGACTTACTCGTCCTTTCAGGCGTGCTGTACTCTATCCCAGTATTCTTTAGGAAAGAATGGTCCTATAGTTGGCGGTTAGTGATGTTGGCTAGCTGCTTTCCCTCTACTCTATTACTTCAAAATTAGGGTGGCTTTCGCAGATAGTCTTTGAGTAGTTTTGCTGGAAATTCAACATAGAAATAAACAAAAATATGACGTATTGAAAATACTGACGTATGTAATCATTTGTTTTTTTTTACATTTCATATATCTTAATTGAAAATAAGAATACTTTCACGAAAAGTTTCACAGATTTTTAAGGGTTAATTTTGTTGCATATTTACGTTCATTTTTTGTACAGATCCAAGTAATCTGAGATTTAGATTTTTTTGCTTCAAGTCAAATAATAATGTTTAGATTATAGCTGAATAATTTAACTTAATTTGTTGCAGTTGTTAGTGTTTGTATTGGAAGAAATTAAAAAATTATTTTCCTATTGTGTTACTTTTATAATATTAAGTCATCCTCGAAATCTGTCAAAGTTGTATTTGATATATTGAGACTTATAATACACATGTTTATAAACAGATAGACAGGTATGCAGACAGATAAAGAGACAGTCATATAGATAAATAGATATATCCGCTACAATAGTATGAAAGTTGTTTGATCTTATGAAGGCGGCACGTTTATAACATCAATGCCTTTGTATTAAATCCGACAGACAAGTTCTGATGTAATTCAGCATTTCATTGATTTATTGCAGTTAATATGACTCGCTCAGCTAGAGATGATTATTGCAATTTAAATGGCTGAAGAATGTGCTCTATTTTACGAACAAACTCCGTGCGTGTAAAATAAAATATTCTAGGTATTGCTATTGAATTAAAATGGTTAAATTGTGAGGGAATAAAAAACATTCTGCAAACCGAAAAAAGGTGTTTGTATCTCCGATCTCTGTTACATGTAGTCGTCTTTTAAATAGTCACGTGAGAAAGTTCATTAAGGTTGATTAAGATCGATCAATTATTGTTGAAACTTCTCGAACTGAATTTACGAAACGCAGCTTCACTTTACTATCTTGTTTTTATAAGCATGGTAATCCTGACATTTTAGCAGTAATTACAAAACAGTTTTGCTCTACTGCGTGAAAGTTAAAGACATTCATCACGAGAATTCTCGTTATCTATGATCTTATACTGTATATTTATATGTATATGTATGTGTGTTATACCACACGTATTCAGTATATTTTGTAAAGACTGGAAGTGTGGAAAATCGAAACATGAAATATTTGCAAGGCTTTTTTATGCATGATTCACTGCGCGAGAGCCTCTTTAACGAAATCAGCAATTTGTAATAAAACATCTGTGCACGAGATTATTTAACGGAATCAACAACATGATAATAAAAGATCTGTAGCTGTTAGAACATAATAAAGGTTCTCTTATTATGTTATTGAAAAAGTACAAGAAATCATTTGTTAGAACATAATAAAGGCTCTCTTATTATGTTATTGAAAAAAGTACAAGAAATCATTTGTTAGAACATAATAAAGGCTCACTTATTATGTTATTAGAAAAAAGTACAAGAAATCATTTGTTAGAACATAATAAAGGCTCACTTATTATGTTATTGAAAAAAAGTACAAGAAATCATTTGTTAGAACATAATAAAGGCTCACTTATTATGTTATTGAAAAAAAGTACAAGAAATCATTTTTTAGAACATAACAAAGGCTCACTTATTATGTTATTGAAAAAAGTACAAGAAATCATTTTTTAGAACATAATAAAGGCTCACTTATTATGTTATTGAAAAAAGTACAAGAAATCATGTTGTAAACATTCACGGTGACTTTAGTGTATCCAAGGTGGGCACATCAGAATTGACACTACTTACAAGATCTATGCTGTGTGCTGTAAACAAAAACAGGAACATTGGACGGATGGGAAAACAAAACTCTACATCATTCCTGATGATGCTCGATCACCTTTCTACTAGATGAAAAGCCTATGAAAACTGTAATCTTAAAGCGATAACAACCACTTTATACAAGTTTGCAAAAAATGTTTGAATATGGGTCTGGAGGCACGAAGGTAAGTTTAACCCATGACAGTGTTGTTGTGCACATTGTAAATGGTTATGGAAATGGATGCATTGTGCATGGAGTGGTTTGTGAAGTTTCTAAACTTCTAAATGAATATTAACGAATTCCGAATGGAGACGTTTCAGAAGCCATGGTTGAATATTTAGTTTAATAAAACTGTTTTATTCCACAAGGAAATGATTATCACTCAAAACATACGATCCATGCCTAACTCCAAGAAATCGTATGAACTATTAAAAGAGCCCAGATTTTAACCATATAGACCATCTACAGGACTATCTGGAGAGATGAACCACCCAGAGACCCAGATCTCAACAATATAGACTATCTACAGGATTACTTGGAGAGATGAACCACCCAGATCTCAACAATATAGACTATCTACAGGATTACTTGGAGAGGTGAACCACCCAGAGACCCAGATCTAAACAATATAGACTATCTGTAGGACTACCTGGAGAGATGAACCACTCAGAGACCCAGATCTAAACAATATAGACTATCTGTAGGACTACCTGGAGAGATAAACCACTCAGAGACCCAGATCTAAACAATACAGACTCTTCGAATCCTAGCAGTTATTCAAGGTAAAGATGATGCTACATCGTTCTAGGACAGTTATCACTAGCACTCTCGCTCTTTACAAGGTTAGGGTACACGTGTATAATTAAACCACTAAAACATTTGTATTGGTTTGATTAAAAGTCGATTTTTTTTTAATTTCGCGCAAAGCTACACGAAGGCTATCTGCGCTAGCCGTCCCTAATTCAGCAGCGTAAGACTAGAGGGAAGGCAGCTAGTCATCATCACCCACCGCCAACTCTTGGGCTACTCTTTTACCAACGAATAGTGGGATTGACCATCATATTATAACGCCTCCACGGCTGAAAAGGCGAGCATGTTTGGTGGGAGAGGGATTCGAACCCGCGACCCTCAGATTAGGAGTCGAGTGCCTTAACCACCTGGCCATGCCGGGCCCAAAGTCGAAAGAAAAAAACACTAGATTATTATCAACTTTTGTTTTTTTAGTAAGTTCAATAACCAATGGGAAACTTACCGATTATAAGACTCAATAATTGTTATATTCAGCAGTCCACAAAATTTCTACTCCAACTGGTTTATTACAAAAAAATACAAAAACAAATTAATGAAACGTTGCTGCTGGAACAGAAGAGTACAAATCAACTCAGAAGTGGTTTTTAATACCATTCACATTGCAATGTTGTTTAAAGGTGACGTCAAATATTATTCATGACGGCAGTACTACTCAGAAATGACGTCAAATGTCACTCCATTAGTTTTCTACAATGGATGATAGAACAAATAAAACCGAAATATATATATATATATATAATATTTACAAGTTCATTAATCCTAATTTCTGGATAAACATTCTCTTAAATTTAGCTGTCCGTGGTTCATATATTCCAACTTTTTTTTTAATTAACCAAGCGCCCCCCCCCCCCCCCCAGTGGCACAGCGGCAAGTCAATGGGCTTATAAATGCTAGAAACTGGATTTCGATACCCATGGTGGGAACAGCATTGATTAGCTTTGGGCTTAGCAACAAACAATTAACGAAGTGGTGAATTAAAGTCCACAAAACTATCCAGGCAGCGCTGTGGGTTGTCCTTCAATCTTATAACTTTTGTTTGTTTGAAGTTAAGCACAAAGCTACACAAATGGTTATCTGTGCTCTGCCAACCGCAGATATCGAAACCCGGTTTCAAGCGTTGTAAGTCCGCAGACATACCGCTGTACGACTGGAGGGCTCTTATAACTTAAAATGAAGCATTCAATATCAGAATATGTTCCTCCAATTTTTCTTTTTAAAGATTTCAATTCATGAGTTGCAAGTATGAATAAAGCGAGATATTAGGGTTAAAAAATCATTACTGAGAAGGAATTGTAAAAACAGCTCTCTGAAAAAAAATGAGAATATTTAATAAAAATACAAAATAAAATAAATTTTAGAAAATCATTACGCCAAGTTGTTGACAGGTTGTGGATCAAAGCTTAGATACATAGTATAAACCCGAGTAACTACAACAGCAACAACAACATAAAAAAATCACCAAAATCTGTCAGTTTTATGTTGAAATTTTCAAGCTATTGGCCTAAAAACACTCGAAGGCTTGTTCTTACAATTATCTCTAAATATTAAACAATGTAACTTCTAATATCTAAAATTCAATAGTTAGATGCCATGTACAAAAAAACGATTTTGAATGCTAGTAGTTTATCGCATTAGTTGTTGACGACACCTTAAGTTATAGATGTGGCGTCTTGGAAACCGACTATGGAAAACCACGTATCAACGTAACAGTAATGATTCTTCAGCAAGTATACTTTTTCACATTATTAAAGCTAAATAATAAATAGCCCTACAGTGTCAGAAAATGATAAAGCGTTTCCAATCACAATCAATATTAGTCGTTAGTTAAACTGATTAAACTCACTAATGACAGATGTTTTTGTTCCAACGCTAAATCCGGAATAACTCCGAATCTTTAGACGATTCAGCATTTTGGGCAGTCATTTTTGTACATTAAACTAAAAACTACTTGTTTCCCTGTAGTATAACCAGGTGAACTCATTTTACAAAAAGAAAGAACTATTTTTTTAAACTTATTATTTTACTGTAACAAAATAAAGTGTTTATATATATATATATATATATATATGATGAAGTTCGAGGAGGTTAATTGTTATACAAGTTCAAAGCTATTCCACCCACAACTTTTCTAGCCACGTATCATACATTGGACAGCTAAAGGACATCATGCTCATCACATTATAGTCATGTATCACTACACCAATTAAACGATATTAAGTTGTACAACTTTTATAGTCATGTATCACTACACCAATTAAACGATATTAAGTTGTACAACTTTTATAGTCATGTATCACTACACCAATTAAACGATATTAAGTTGTACAACTTTTATAGTCATGTATCACTACACCAATTAAACATCATTATACCTTCTAACTTATGGCAGTCCTATATCATTATATAAATTAAACATCAGTATATTCACCACCTTATACAGTCATCTATCATTGTATAAATTAAACGTCATTGTTCTCACCAACTTATGTCAGTCCTGTATCATTATACAAATTAAACATCAGTATATTCACCACCTTATATAGTCATGTATCACTACACCAATTAAACATCATTATACCTTCTAACTTATGGCAGTCCTGTATCATTATATAAATTACACATCAGTATATTCACCACCTTATATAGTCATCTATCATTGTATAAATTAAACGTCATTGTTCTCACCAACTTATGCAGACCTATAATTTTACAACTAATAGAGACCCGCAAAACGTACTCTTGCAATAAAGACACTAATTTGAGCACAAATATTTTTCGGGTCTCTGCTAGTCTATTACAATAACTAGCTGGAGTATCCGTCCCCTGGTTATGTAAATTCATGATAAACGAAAGGTTATCTTAGGACATGAAAAGTTTCTTACCTTATATGTAATTGTAAAAGAAAACAAAAAAAAACGCCCATAAAAAACTGCAAAACACAAAATGTGAAACCTCAAATTTGCATGTATCTCTGCATGGACCTAACAAATCTCCATACCAAATTTGGTGAAGATCCATCCTCAGGAGGTGAGGTAGTAGTAAAGAAACGCCCATAAAAACAGCAAAACTGAAAATTTAAATGTATCTCCCCATGGACCCAACAAACCTTCATGCTAAATTTGATGAAGATCCATCAACAGGAGGTGAGGTAGTGGTAAAAGACGCCCATAAAAACCGCAAAACTGGAATCATGTATCATTACATCAATTAAACATTATTATTCTTACCAACTTATGCAGTCACATATCGTTACACAAATTAAATGTAGGTGTACTCACCAACTTGTATTGTCATGTATCATTACACAAAATAAACTTCCTTATACTTACCAACTTATGCAGTCATGTATCATTACACATACTAAACACCACTACACTGTACAACTTCGGCATTCATGTATCACTACACTAATTAAGCATCGTTGCTCATCATTTTACATAGCCATGTATCATTCACAATTAAACATCATTATACTCACTAATTTAAATAATTTTTCCCACATAAACCACAAAAGTTAATTTTATTCTTTGCTGGAGATGTATGTTGTTCTATACAAAATTACTTAAAAGGTATAGTTACTTTTATATACTGATCCATACCTAAACATATTAATGGATCATACGTCTCTCCAAAGTATTACCAAGACATAAGGAGTTCTACAAAATTGTTTACTATATTTATTGATCAATAAAACAAAATAAAGCCACTGGCTACAAAGCTCATAAAAAATATATATAACAAAGCATTAAATCACATTCTATACACAACATTTAATAAAGAACTTGACTTTGTTTGGTGAATAATTTTGTGTTAATTCTCATGGTGCATCAAACTGTCATTCTAGTTTGACTGAAAGGATTGTCTCTCTTGTTAAAGGAGATGGCACTTGGGTTGTAGGATGCCGACCCACCATTCAGAAGAGTCATCAGCTTCCTTAGAGACTCACAGGAATTTACCACTTCTGGAATGCTTTGGAGAGTCTAGAAAGATAGAAAAACAATAGGCAAATAAAGAAAAAATACTGAAGTCTCCAGGAGTCTTAAGTATACAGAAATGAACAAAAACTGGTGGAGAACTTAATAATATAGGAAGAAAAAAAAATGTTTTAATAAACTATACGAAGTACAAGAAGATATATCTGTAATCTGAAGATCGAAATTACATGACAACAGATAGATAGTCTGAAAACAGTGGATAGCTTAAAAACATAAATTATTTGAAAAACCAGGTTGCCTAGAGACAGAAATTATGTAATAACAGATGTTTAGCATGAAGAGAAAAGTCATATATATGAAAAAAAAAAAGATGGATCACCAGAAAACATGAATTATATGAAAATAGAGAAATAGCTGCATGAGAGTAAATGGCAGGAAGTGTAAAGACAAAAAAAAAACTTAAAAGATTAAAACAATAGAAACAAACACTTTATATTGTTTTACAAATACAACACATATTTCACTAACAAGCTAGTTAAAAACATAATCATAATTTTTAGTTTATTAGCATTATCTGGTTGTTTATACTTGATATACATTTTAGTAATTTGAATATAAACAAGACAAACCTGCAAGTAAACTGTATTAAAATTATCAAACTGTAACTGTGACTCGCATAAAACAGCAAGTCATCTTCAGCAAGATATGTAAAATATCTAATCATTAAATTTTCAAACACGTAAGTTTCCTGATTCTTTCTAACAAGATATTTAATTTCAACTTTTTGTTTCCATAACTTACTAATCATTAGCTGTTAGTTAAATTTTTAAACATCAAGTTGCAGTCATTGAACTATTATGTACCATTAATTCATTTCTGAACCTTGAAAATCTGGTGAGATAAAGGTGAACTTATGTAAAATGTGTTCCTGGAATACAGACACGTGAACTCAAACACACAGTCTATAAATGCACATAAATTATCTATATATATACAATTTTTTTCACATATATATATATATATATATATAATTTATTCTCACAGAAAACTTGGAATTGTGAAAAAATAAAATCTACAGAGTTCTGCATTTAATGTAGTATTTGAATTTATCAAATAGAGCATTAACTCTCTTTGTCGAAAGAAGTCTGCCACTTACATCAATACACTGATAAATTATATCATCAAGCATCTGAATTTCCATCTCTGCCTTCCTACAGTTATCTTCCCAAACTTCCTTGTTACGAGCATACTTGTCATCCATGTTATGAAGCAATTCCCCTTTTGTTTCTAAGGCTTTTTTTAGGCAAACAATCTGAGATGGAAAAATAAATATATATATATATATATATTCTGGCTGAAATATTTATATTTCAATAATTAGTTCTTATCTGTTTTTCACATAAAAAGAAAAACTCTTCTGCAAGAAGCACAACATAAAACACAAATATGTTTCTCAATTTCTTAAAACCTCACCAGTTATTGGATAAGGCCATATTCTTATTTCTTCAACAGCACAGTTATGCAGCCAATAAAATTTAAAATTATACCGAGTTTGAAAACTACTGAGTAACACAAAAAAATAAAATCTCAGTAATATCTACTGTACAAAAGAGATACAAAATTACATCCTTGTATGAAATATCATGAGTGCATAGCAAAAGTCTATCATATGTATGAAAAAGTTGCAAATTCACACCTGTTTGAAATATTACTCTGTGTGTGTATAACAAAATTTCATCACCTGAGTGAAACAGCTGCAAAACCATACCTCCTGTTTAAGAGCAAGTTTGTCACAGATGGTCAGAGCATTCACCATAGATTCCATTCCCATCTGTTGTGGAGCCGTTTCATATGTCTTTTTAATTTCCTCTTTTATTTGCCGAGATTGTTCAATATTAACCGCTTCCAAACAGTGATTCTTTTCCCACATCTGTTCCACCTGTTTTTGCAGCAGCTGAATTCATAAAAGGGATATTAAAACAAGATTGAGACATCAGGTTTTATTAATGGTTGTTAAGTTAAATGAAAACTTTTAATGGGTTTTAAGTTAAATGAACATCAGTTTTTGTTAAGTGAAACACTAGTTCTTTTGTTAATGATTGTTAACTTAAATGATACATCAGTTTTAGTTAATGATTGTGATGTTAAACAAAACATCAGATTTTGTTAATGATTGTGATGTTAAACAAAACATCAGATTTTGTTAATGCATATTATTAAAATTAAATGAAACACCAGTTTTTGTCAATGCTTATCAAAATTAAATGAAATAACAGTTTTTGTCAAGGTTTGTTAAGCTAAATGAAACATCAGTTTTTGTTAATGCTCAATAAGATAAATCAAAATTAATGACTTGTGTATTTCAACTATATATTCACTTCAATAAGCCAAGATAGAGCTACAGACTTCGGTATGCTGTAGTTTTAATATTGAACTGTAGTGATGTTCATCAGTCAACATTACAGTTTTTCATGTGTTGTACAATTTTAATACCAAATTATATAATTGTTCATTAGTCTAATTTAATGTTACAGATTTCCAAGTGTTATATAGTTTAATATCTTGCTATCCTAATGTTCATTAGAGTGCACTGATGCTTCCATGTATCATACAATTTTAATATCTAAGTTTGCACCAGTGTTCATTAGTTTTACAATATTTATATACAACCTTATTTACCTACTTAGATATTCCTATCTAGTTACTCAGTTGGATACCACTTGAAGAATTTAAATATAGCTTTTTTCTCTTTAACATTCACAATGTTTTTTGTTTTACATCCATCCACATATATAACATTATTCATCTTAACATTTCTTGGTAGTTTTTTGACAATCAACCACTATAAAAACCTATGTATAATGTTCATTGCTCTGTTTTTTAAATAAAAATTGTTCAACCAACGAGTCAAAACTTACATCCATTTCTTTCTGATGGGATTCCAATTCCTCCTTTTGTTTCTCTGAGATTTCTTCAAGTTTGGCTGTTGTGTGCTCAAGAACATCATCTTTAGCTTCTACCTCTTTCTGAAGTTGGTCTTGTTTTTCTTCCAAGAACTGTACTTTCTTCTTCAGACATTTACTAATATAAAATAAACAGATGTGACAAATGTGTACATCTAAAAGTGCACATTAAAATAACAGCACTCTGTTGTGCTACATCATATGTTACTAAGATTGGATTTCAGATTCTAAATATTCTCATAAATCACATTAACAATTTAACTCTGTGCTCAAGTGAGGGTCAATGTGCACAAGTCACATGCTTTTACAGCATGCCATTCAACATTGTATTATGTGTTTGATGTCAATTATCAACTATTCGTTTTATCCTACATTGCTGAATTAGTGATAGTTTGTTGTAAAGGAGAGTAAATACTAGATACAGTGTACAGGGATACTGAAACAAACCATAAATATGCATTTTGGCAGTCCTAGAGGTTATGAAAATGCAACATGCAAACTGTACAATGGACAAAAGTATTTTTATTCTTCACATAAACATTACCTTGCACTCTGATTTGTCAAACTATCAGTCAGACTGATATTGACAATTCACAGACATGCCTTGAGTATAAATACATTTATAACACATTTGGTTTTTGTGTACATTGTATTTGTCCATTTGAATAAAAACTTGTCAAATTTTGTGTAGATACATGTGGTAGATTCAGAATTCAAGTCAACATTCGTTTTTCAATATGGGGTCAGTCCAATGGACTAAGTAATTTATCTATGGAAGTTGTTATTTTTATAGTTTATGTGATAGAAAAAAATTACCTTTCAATTTACGTTCTGATATTTTTAGGTGTACATTTTTATGCCAAATGTATCATTGACAGACTGCATCATATCAATTTGTTTTTATGCAAATTTTATGACAATTTTTTTACAATTTTCAGGTACTTTCACCTTCATATAATAAAATAAATTTTTAACAACTGTGAGATTTCCATTTGGGTGATCTACGATAAAAACTGAACTTCAACGCAGACACGAGCATGATACATTAAACATAAAAACTTTAAATTTCAAAAATAAAGGTTGGAAATTATTGTTTCTCGAGAGGAAAAGTATTTTTGCTGAGGTTTTCTTCAGGTCCTTCCACTCAAGAAACAAGGATTGGAAGCAGTCCATTAAAATTCTACTTCTAAAATGTCTACATGGTATCAAATGATACTGAAACATAAATAAAGCTTTACAAAAACTAAACTTTTGTAGTTATGATGATAGGTGGGTGAGAACATACAACACAGATGATGTAATGGAAGATTTCTGTTACATTTAATTTTTTTTTTTATCTTAAAAAAAACATTAGCAGGAATTGATATGTGGAAAAGTCTAATCAAATTGCATGGAGCTAAAATACAAGATTAAAAAAAAATACTTATACAAGTTACAACATTTCAGAAAATAAAGATTTCATTTGTCTGTCCTATAGACCTAATGATACTATATTCATAGTAATATCTCAAATGTATATACAGTTCGCAAAAAATAACAAATAAATTCCTATTACAATATCTTAGATAGTAAATATTTGATACAGATCAAACATTATTATTCAATGTTAAATTTTCCTTATGTTTACTCAGATTAGTTATCGGAATCTTAGTAGATCCAAACATCTAAAGAAGAATGATTAGTGTTGATGTGAACTTTATAGTCTCTCAAACTCAACAGCAAAACTTCTGTACTAGTTTTATTTATTTGCTGTACTGCATCATAATTAAGCAGAAATGTAAAATAATCAAATTACATCCATAATGAGTAAAATCCAACACAAATATCAGAAGTTAGTTGAAGTCATAACTTACTTTTCCTCCAAAACAGCAAAAAGCTGGGTTTTATATTTTTCATGCATTAACTCTATCATCTTAGCCATTTTTTGAAAAAGCTGGTTCACTTTTTTCACTATGCTCTCCAAGGAACCACTGCGAGGTTGTTTACTAGCATTACAATCTTCAACAACAGCTTCATGTTGGAGTTTGTTGAGATCAGTCTGTAACCCATTCTGTTGTGGTTTTACTGAAGTGGAACAGAAGGGTGATGCAAGGCCTATGGGCCTGAAGGCACTTCCAGGAATTTTTCTGTCTGGGATACCAACATCTTTGAACAATAATTGTTCATCACAGATCTGATCAGTTTCACCATTCAGGAGTCTTGTGGTCTTTTCCTCCTGGTGGCTGACAGCATGAGTTTTATATATCTTTTGGTAAAGTTTTGGACTTGTTTCTTTTAAGGAATTGGTAGAGGAATGAAGGTCTGACTGACCTTTTGTTCCTTCAAAGGCTTGAATCACTGACCAAACAAAGGAACCCGGTTTTTGTTTTTGTGATGCATTTGAAGGAAAGTTTGTGACTGGTTTAGCAATGACTATTTCTTTTTTGATGTCTCCACATCTTTCATCAGATGGTTGTTTTAGTTTCTTTTCTTTAAACTTGAAATTATGATCAGCTTCGTTATTTTCTGTTTCTTCAGGATGTTTAACACTAGCATCTGAATCTGTATCTTCAGCATCAGAAATAATCTCATCTAAGACCTAACAAAAACACTAATTACTAATCGAACAAAACAATTCATAAAACAAAAGGATTAAATTATGTCATAAACATAATACATTTGGTAAGTACAAATTAAATATGTGCAAGTGGTATGCACATAGTGTACCAATAATTTATAGCAAGCTCTAACAAGTTTTATTACAAGGAAGCAACTTGCTTAATGCATCAAGATTTAAAACATACAGCAAATCCTTTCAGTTTTGATAACTAATTATGATAAATCTGGTATTATTCTAGTAAAGAACCATAACCAATAAATTTTGTAATTTTAATATCACAAAAAATACACACCATTAATATTTTGAGTTTAATTTACACTGTATCTGCATTATCAGCTCATTAAAACTTACCTAGATTTAAAATTAAACCATTAAAGTAATGCCACTTGGTAGTTCAGTAGCAAACTTCAAAATTTATTAGGCTAAAATTCATATTCAATCCCTGTTATGTGCAACTAGTTAGATACCAGGACATATAGAGTATTAATATAATCCTGGTATCTAACTAGTTCAACATATAGAGTATTAATACAGTTGAACTAGTTAGATACCAGGACATATAGAGTATTAATACAGTTGAACTAGTTAAATACCAGGACATATAGAGTATTAATATAATTGAACTAGTTAAATACCAGGACATATAGATTATTAATACAGTTGAACTAGTTAGATACCAGGACATATAGAGTATTAATACAGTTGAACTAGTTAGATACCAGGACATATAGAATATTAATATAATTGAACTAGTTAGATACCAGGACATATAGAATATTAATATAATTGAACTAGTTAGATACCAGGACATATAGAATATTAATATAGTTGAACTAGTTAGACACTGGGACATATAAAATATCAATACAGTTGAACTAGTTAGTTACCAGGACATATAGAATATTAATATAGTTGAACTAGTTAGATACTAGTAAATGTGGTATCCTAAGATGAATGATCACTTAAGATTCTATAATCAAATGTTATGATTTGTACTCTAAAAACTAGCTAACAATTTGTCACAAGACAACAACATTATTATCAGTCTGAAAAAATATAAAGGAAATAATTATAATATTTTATGAGTGACATGAGAAACATGAAACAATATCTAAGATATTCAACTTCATGATATGTTAATTTTCTACAAAAAGCTAATAAACAGGTTAAGAAAACTAAACTTTAAAAAAAATTACCATGTACCAAATGTTTGCTGCTGAAATAGAAAAAACTACACATTCAGAAAACTAACAGTAAAATGTAAACATAACAATGATTTAAACAAACCTCTTGGTTGAGTTGCAAGTCATTTCCGGCATACTCAACTATTGTAGTTAATAGAGCATGCGCATGATAACCAAGCTGTGTTAGAGCAAGAGCAATTGTACTGAGTTCTGCTCCTTGGCTCAATAGCAGGTCTTGTGCTTGGCCTTCAGTTGCACTGATTTGGGCCTGCAGCACTTGGTTTTGTAACCTGTTGATGTAAAATATACTCGTCACAAATACATAGACATTCTATCTCACCAAAGTTAAATATTTTAAAGAAATATTTTCACAAAGCTGTAAATATCAATTATAACACAAATCTGAACTATTATTTATATCAACAAAACAAATCTCCTTATAATTGATCATTTTAATTGTCTTAAATGTTCTCATTTTTTAATCTGGATTGCTAAATAACTACATAGTTTTTATTTATTGAATAAATGTGACTTATTAATTACTACTGAGACTTTAAATGATTTAATTTGTAATCTGTAAGTGCATTCAATATTAATAAAAAAAAGAAAAAGTAAGTACAAAGTTTTTAACTGATATATAATTTATCTAAAAGTAGAGAGAGATTAGAAGTACATCCAACACTATTAAGTATTAAGAATGTTGAAACATATCACACAAACTCTTTGTCTTGTATTTTGTCATAAAGACATTGACAACGATCTTTTAGCTCATCTATATAAGCTTTATCTTGATTCGCTTTCTCCCGTGCTAACAGTAGTGTTTGTTCCAACTCCTGTATTGTCTCTGTCAGTGTGGATCTCTCTACTTGAAGAAACTCAAGACTATCTCGTCCTTCTGCTAAATCTCCCTCAAGATCTTTGATTTGGCATCGCAGGAGAACATTTTGAGCCTCTGCACCTTCAAGCTGACTCTGGTAATCATCAATAGCATCTCGACACTGCTGCAACTCACGATCACAAGAACAAAGCTGCTCTTCCAATTGCTGAATCTTAATGTTTGCTTGATTCAACTCTGTAAGACAGAGAAAGTCTATTTCAAGAAGTCCAGAGTTAAAAGTTAACTGACTGCAATACAGTAGAAGTAGTTTCCCATTATTAGAGATGCTCTATTTCTAGAAAAGTATTTTATGTAAAATTTTCTTTGGTTCAACTGCATTTTTAAGTGTAAAGAAAGCAAAGAAAAAGCAATATATTTTTCCCTCTTTCTCAAAATCACTATGTTTGAGTACTTGTTAAATGTGTTTATCTTGGTAGAACTTTGGAATGTGGTTGACTTTTCTCTACAAGTTTGATTTTAGTTTTGAGTTTGAAAATGTTCTTAGCAAGCAGGTTTAAGGTATGAACTAGACAGATAATGAGGTGAGAATATTTCTCTTTACGTACAAAATATGTACAAACTGCAACAACTTTGCAATGATTTCCATTACACCCACTAAGCCCATGCCATTATCTAGAAACATCTAGTCTAAAAATAAGTAGGTCTAAATAAAAAGATGAACAAAAATTTATGACATCAGACTTTTCTAAAGTAAATATATGGTTTTTAAAATATAACTGCCAAGTAGCCTTTAACTGGCCACACACATTTCACACTTTTTGTGTTTGTTTTAGCTCAAAGTCACATTCAGTTATCTGCTATGTCCACCAAGGGGAATCAAACCCTGGACTTTTGGAACATAAGTTCATAAATGTATTACTGACTCACCAGGAGATGTTCACACTTTCAACCCTGTTGACAACAACAATAAAAAGGAAAATTTGAGATGAAACCACATAAAGAGGTAACAATTCTTTATAAAAATATTGTGGACAAATTAACTTCTGCAGCAAAAATATCTTCAACTAAAATATTGTTAAATCTTTCATACTATATTTCAAACAATTCTGATTAAAAAGTTATCACACAGGATAACATTCAAAAGTTGTAAAGGTTTTCAAACGAGAAGTTCAAACAGGATGTTCAATATGAGTTGGCCTTGAGAGCTAGCCAATCATAACCTAGAGTTGTTGGTGTCAGGTTATGATTGGCTTGTTCTCAAGGCTAACTCATATTGAACATCCAGTTTACAAGACGTCAACATCTGTGCCTATATATTTCATTACACTCATTAAACATAATCCTTTATTCTCCTGAAAAAAAAATAGTGAACTATTTGAAATTGCTCGAGTTTTGGGTCTTGTTTGAAAATCAGATTTCAAATGATGATATTATAGTAAACATTCAGGAATAAAAAGAGTAATTACATTATTACACAATTTCAGGCATGAACAGATAGTGGTTATATTATAATATAATTTCAGGAATGAACAGATAGTGGTTATATTATAATATAATTTCAGGAATTAATAGATAGTGGTTGCATTATAATGCAATTTTAAGAATGAAAAAATAGTAGATACATTATAATACAATTTCAGGAATGAACATATAATGGATACATTATAATATAATATAATAAAAAAAAACCTTAGGTGTGAAAAAAAGGTGCAGCCAAAAAAGGATTCGGTGCGTGACTTAAAGGAATGAAATCAAAACTGGTGTCCAGACTGATAGCTACATTTATAAAATTGATGAAAATTTTACAGAAAATATTCATACATTTTTTGTTCAACTTGTAGCATGATGGTGGGTAAAACAAAATATGTGGCCTAGCTAACTAATAAGAAAGTGACACGCAATAGTAGCCACCATTAACTTTAGGATCGTAACCCTATTATTGGGAACAAACCTTTACTTTACAGAACCAGCCAGATTCTTT